TTTTTTAATTTGAGCCAAAAGTGTCTCTATATTTCTATTTTCGTTTGCAGCGTACAGCGTCTCGAGAGAGAGAAAGAGAAAGAGAGGGAGAGAGACAGATTCTTGACATAAAGTAGGAAAAAACGAAATTATTAGGTCGGAAAAAGGGATTTTACGAGCGTTGTTGTACATATGATTGGTTTATACGGACGAAGAGGCAAACAAAAATTTATACAACTGGCTGAAATACAACCCTAACTAGAATAGAATGTCACGTAGTAGAGAGAGACGCTTGAATAACGCTTGCACGTTGTTTCTGTCAACAGACTCCATGTCCACGATAACGGTTGCGAGTAAACAGTCCGGAGGTATAGATAACGCGACGCAGTTCTTGGTAACTGGCGGGCCGAGTAGCTCGGACAGCCAAGAGTCCCCTGTCCAGCAGTCCACCGAGGGTATCGAGGTGTCGTGCAAGGTTGGCAACGGCCTGCTGTACGGGAACGCGAGGCTGCAAGAAGCCTGGGAACCGGAGGGCAAAGTGTCGCCCGACACACCTTGGCGATACGTGCCAACGTCCACCAACTCGCTGAACATCGAGCCGTTAAACTCGAGATACTCGGACAACTCGGAGAACGTTCAGAGCGTGCTGCAGATCATCAACAAGGGCCAGAGCATCGAGATGGCCAGCGGGCAGATCTACCAGACGAACGCGAAAAAGTACTTCATGAATCACACGTTGGAGTCGTTCCAGCAGTACTCCAACAAGAGCCACGTGATGAAAACGCCGTTGAACCCCAGGTTGGATCGGGAGTTGTTGCAGCAGAAGATGGAGAGGAAAGCGGCGGCGATAGAACGCGAGATGAAGTTGCAGAAGAGCTTGTCGGAGGAGTGCGAGGATCTGGGCGTGGACGAGCCGAGCACCAGCGATCTGTTTCCAGAGGCGGATCTGTTGTTCGACACGAACCACTCGCCGTCCTTCGATCATTCCTCTCAGGACGCGTCGTGCAGTCAGTCGCTGGGTATGAAGTCCTACAGTGGTTCCTACTTTCGCTCTCTGGACTCGTCGAGCGGCAGCAGAGACGCCAGCCCGGTTGCCGACTTCAAGACGAACGAGCGTAGAAAAAGCGGCAGCAGCCAGCGAGCTAGATCCGCGAAAGATTCCTCGAAGAGGCTGAAGAGGGACAAGGTGGAGGATCATCTGCATTTGGAGAGCTCGGCGAAACACATGCGGCTAACGTTGGACAACTTGAGCCAGGACGAAGCCTCGAACAGCAACTCGGACATCTCGAGATTGTCGCCGACGAATCTCGGCTCGCTGGAGAACGACTCGCTGAAGGGGACGAGCCGGACGAAGATGACGTCGAGGAACGGCTCGAAGGAGGGTTCGCCCAGCAGCGTATCGAGCATTCCGTCGAACATGAAACTGGACATCGACTTGGACTCGGAATCGCTGCCTCCGAGCATCAATGTAAATAACACCTCGGCGGCGAGCTCCGGTGACGAGAGCTTAACCTTGCTCAGCGGTAACACGGCGGACGTCACGATTCCATCGCCGCTCTCCCCAATCGCTGGCCCGATGTTGTCGACGCACAAGTACACCTACACCAATAAGAAGCGGATCGCGTCGAAGGTAACGAGGATGGATTACCTCTCGTGGGAGAGCCCGATGTCCGAGAGAACGAGATCGAGCAGCGACGAAGAGGACTCCAGCATAAGCGAGTCGATCGGTAGCCAACCGGAGGAGAACGCGTTGAGCAACGGGCTCGAGGACAGCGTGCAGAGTCTCAAGTCGCTGTCGAACGAGCGACGTTGCAACTACCTGAAAAAAAAGGACAAGTTACAGGTGAACGCGAGAGTGGTGTTGAATAGAGCGGATCACAAGAGCAGCCTGTCGAAGCGTATCAAAGCGAACGAGTCGATCCAAGACTCGGTGATGGTTTCCAGTGACAAGGCTTCGGAGCCCTCGGACGATGAAACGGGGAACATCGCTTTGGTCGAGCCGGACTGCCGAGCTAGACGGTCGAGTTTGCGCGGACACGTTAAGAAGGGGTGTGCCTGTTGCAACGGCTCCCCGGAACGACCGAAAAAGAAATCGGTGAAGTCCGATCACTCGCGATTGAAGAAACGTTTGTCCTCGAAACAGACCGGAAAGAAAAGGTAGTCCTAGCGTTCGAACGCTCGACGGAGCATCGCGTGTTTAGTCGTAATGGTATATGCTCACATCTGGCGACATGTGTCCAGTGACAAAGGAGCTTCCAAACGTACGGGCGTCGTCGTGTCCTCGTTGCCGCTACCGACGTGAAACTCGACAGTGACCGACGACAGCAGCCGGGGGAAAAACGTGTCCAAGACAGAATGCAATTCGCTCGAGTGACGAATATGACTGACGCATAAACTAAAGACAAGCTTGTATATAATACATATTAGCGAATTAGGGAGTTGTCGGTGAAGACAAACTTTTACGATACGCCGATAACTCGGAGTGCCTATTCTCGTGTAGGCAGAAATGTTGATTGATACATTGTGACATTCGTAGATTCTCGATACAGCGTTGTACTACCCGTTTCATCGATGAACAGAGGCAGAGGAAAAGTAGAGAGAATAGCAGAGAGAGATTGATTGATCGAGAGAGAGAGAGAGAAAGAATGAGAATGAGAATGAGAATGAGAATGAACGAACAGCATATTAGCGATTCTCGAGAACAATAGATCATCCTCTTACCACTAGATGTTATTACGATACTAGATGTAAGGTGCAAATTATAATGAATGGCAGACTTAAAGTAAATCGTTAACCCGGGATTACCCACGTGAAGGTCTAGTGCCAGGATGTACCTGCACTAGACCTCCACGTGGGTAATCCCGGGTTAAGGATATTAGAGACGCAATCTAGTCAAAAAGATATAGTTTATGACGAGGAGTTAGAGGCGCGTTTCAGAAAGAGAGAGAGAGAGAGAATGAGAGAGAGAGAGAGAATGAGAGAGAATGAGCGAAATAATATAAGCGCGCGAAAAGAAAAAGAAAAAGAAAGAAAAAGAGGCAAAATATAAAAGGGGATAAGGAGAGAAAAAATAAACAAATAAACGTATTCGACTGTCGATAGATCCCTCGCAGACTAAAGAATTTATAATTAAAAGCCTGAATTTATAACTCTGTCTACTGTATCTATCTATCACGATGATACTATTCCACGTTCTTTTACATGGTGTGGTCAGACTGAATAGACAAATTAATTACTTACATAGAGATCTCGTTCGGTGAATTAAACGTAGCAAGATACGCATTGAACTTTTTGCCTTTTCCGCGTAACGCTTCTTGATAACTTAGAACCTTAACTTTATATCGGAAATGATTCTTGTAAATTGTAGCGTGTCACACCTTGATGGCAAGCAACAACAGGTGGTGACAAAAAAGCGGTTCAAGGAGTGAATCATGAAAAACCAAATAAAGGTGAAGATGTTTAAATGGCTATCGAAAATATGAAATGGTAGAGAGAAAAAAAGCGAGAGAATATATGTATACATACATATGTATATATATATATATGTATATGTATATATATATATATATATGTGTGTATATATACATATATGTGTAACTAAAAGCAACGTTGTGTGTCGTACAGACCGACCATACCTTGTCACGGTGCATGTAAAAAAAGAAAAAAAAAAAAGAAATGTATCCAGAAAACTGTAAATTACGTAGATAATTCATTAAATAGTATTATATCGCTGCACTTTAGTACAAAATCGCTTCACCTTGTTTCAAGAATGACAAGTTTATATCATCTCTCAGTGTGCTGTCGTGACGCGTGAATGCCTGCAACTTATAAAAAAAAACTACTATCAAAAAAAGAAAAAAAACACTTGTAAAGGTTGTGTAATTAAGCTACGAAACTCTGATTTTCGTAAGTTTTCTTTCGCGCCTTCCTCCACGGAGTGATTGGCAGTTCTTTTTTTTTTCTTTTGTTCTTTTTCTCTCGTGTAAAAGCTGTATGAAACTCGTTAGCCGTGGCGTTCAATGTATTATCTCTGGCGCAAAAAGAAAAAGAAAAAAAAGAAACTAAAAAAGTTAAGGATGTTGAAAAGTAATGTTCCTGTGAATAGTCCCCTTTCGTGATACGAACCAAAGTGATTCCATTTAAAAGCTGAAACGAAAGAAGAGAAGGAAAGAATTGAGAACACACACAGAAAAGGATAGAAACGAAGCACGAAACCGAGCGTGTTTTTGAACTCGTCGTCTTTCTTCGCGTAAATCCGTTGTAAATTGTCATTAGTCGCTTCGTTCCGAACGCGTATTACTGTAAGATAAAGTGTATCTTCGTTTTTTTCCCCATTCTGTCGTCGATTAGTGAAACTCTACCTCGTGCACGCGTCGATCATTTCCCATAATTCTCATCATGTTTTTAAGCAATTTCTATGAAACGTATAACACGTCGGAGAGAGAAAGAGAGAGAGAGAGATCGCTCGCTCGCTGTGACTTGAACGATTTCACACACGCAATACATATATATACATATATATATATTTATATGTATATATATATACACCATTTATTCGCTTTGTGAACTGCGTGAACAGCGTGAAGGGCAAAGGTGCGAAGCTGAGCGTAATATAGACAATCTCTGTAATCGCCGCTTGTACCTGTTACTGCGCTATTAGCAATAACAGAAAATACGAACGAAACCGCCCCGGATCTAGAGCTCAGATATACGTATTTATCGTAGCCGTTAACGTACGAAGTTTCACGAAACCTTGTCCGCTTCTCTGATCGCGAGGTCTGTCCTTTGTCTGTCTTATTGTCGCTTTAAAAGCCCGACACCTTCTTGTAAATAATGTACATTTCAAATTTTTTGGAACTTCCCGCCTCCCCGCCCCCTCCCACACACACATACACACACTCAACAGACAACTATCCCAAAGAAAAACATTCGAACGTAATCTGACGAGTTTTCAGCAGAGCGAGAGTAAGGGGGGAAAAAAAGTCACGTTAACGTTATTGTCTATAAAACATGTAAGCTCTTTATCTTCCTGTACAGCTAAAGCGATGTAAGAAAGGGAAAGACACGAAGACAGAGAGAGAAAGAGAGTAAGTGAGTAAGTGAGTGAGTGAGTGAGTGAGTGAGTGAAAGAGAAGAAAATTGGAAGTGAAACACAAGATAGTCGCGGACGAACGGACAACTGAACGGACACAGAGAGACAGAGAGATCATTTGCGCGTAAGTGTAAATTTTTTGAGAGAACGTCGCACCAAAATAATAATAATAATAATAATAATAATAATAATAATATTAATAATAATAATAATAATAATAATAATAATAATGATAATGATAATGATACGTATTTTTTGATGGGATGGAAAAGGAAACATTACATATATAGCTTATACGTTAAAGAAAAACGAATGCGAGAGAGGGAGAGAAAGAGGCAGTATGCATGAGTGAAAATGAATAAAAGAGAGAAAGAAGAAGAAGAAAAAAAAAGGAGAACGAAAATACGATTGTCAGTGATAGTCTGGCCTTTTTCGCCACCTTTAGTCGTACCAATCGCATTTATAATAGAGGGGTAACTGTAGTCTTCGTAAAAAAAAGGAACTTCGGTGAACAGACTTGAATAAAAGAGTGAGTAAAACTTAGAAAGAAACGCTTGAAGACAGGCAAATGTTTCCCAGAGTCGGCGGGAGCTTTTCAGGTACTTAAAAAAAAAAAAAGTAAAAAGATAAACGTAAAAAGAAAGGAGAAGATAAGGAAATAGAAGAGAGAGAGAGGGAGAAACAGAGGAGAAGTGTAAAAAGAGAGAAACCTGCTTTACACTGGCCGTTGAGTAAAGATTAAATTAAGAGTTTTTGTATCGTATGTTTGTTAAGACTACTGTTTTTCTCACTCGAATCACCCCTTGCTAACCAGTATTCGAAAGAACGATGTTTGTTGCGTCACTTTGATGTCTGTAAACAGCAATGTGAGAGGATAATACGGAGAAATTGTGAGAAAAACCAAGAGGAAAAACGAGTAACAGGTGATTATGAAGAACGAAAGATGAAAGGGAGAGAGATTGAGAGAGAGAGAGAAAATGAAAGAGTAAGAGTGAGAGAGTGTGTGTGTGTATGAGAGAGAGAGAGAAAGGTTGAGGAAAAAAAACAGGCAGAAAGAATACGTATAAATAAAACGGCCGTGCACTGCAAAACGTACATTCATTAAAATACGTATTGTCGTTTAGCACAAATCAGTTGAAAATCGAGAGATTAAGTAATTACAAAGCCGATAAATGAAACCGATGTGTGACGGCGGGGGGGAGGGGAAAGCCGAGATAAACCGAGGACGGAGTTGTTAAGAAGAAAAGAACAGAAAAAAAGTAGGAAACAAAACAAAGCGAAAAATGAAAAAAGAAAAAGAGTAAAACGAACACACCAGTACAGTCATGTCCGAGATAAAAGTAAAAAAAGAAAAAGAAGAAAAGATAGAGAAACGTTGTGTAAGACATGCTTCTCTGTACATACACTTGGAAGAATGCAGTTAAAAGAGAAGGCACGAATGAAGGGAACATTTCTTTTCTAGACATTACCATTATACATATGTACTGTAATTAATATAAAACATTAATGATACATATTTTCGAGATACACGACCAGTCGGGGGAAAAAGTTTGTTCAGTGAAGGCTACGGTTCGATTTGACGCATCATTGTATTTAACGTAGAATCGATATTTACATGTGAATACACGCGCACCAGCATTTATATGTAAATATTTGACTTAGCGTTAAGCGAAAAAGAAAAAAAAGAAGAAAAAAAAGTCATGCATAAACTTGCAATCTTCGTAGTTCTCTCCGTGCGATACATAATTATTCCTTTCGACTTCGATAAATGCTGAAGGCCTCGTTATTTTCACACATTTTGACAAACGCATGTTTCGAACTGAAAATATTGAATTTATATTTTTAAGATCGTTCTACTGTAATAAATCCGTACAAAGAAAAAAAAAAAAAAACAAAAAAAAAAAACAAAAAAAAAAAAAGGAAAAACGGTAGTTTTGTAAGGAACGCCCATACTCTTAAGAACCCAAGGTCAATTATCACTCAAGGAGGAAAACAGCTACAATTCCGACGAATTTAACGCTACGAGGCGATGACAAATGGAGATGACCCGTTTAGCCCCGCGCTCGTCGATGAACCGTTGGCCACAGCGAATGCTTCGGTGTAAAAACTTGGAAACGCGATGGGCGACCGGTTTGAATTCTCGCTATCGAGAAAGGAAACATCGACTTTCTTCCTGTCTCTATCTCCGTCTCCCTCTCCCGCTCTTTCCCCTCTCTTTCTTTCCTTCTTTTCTCTTTGTCGCGTACGCGCGAATTCTCTCGCACGCGCGTTTACAACTGGTTTAGTCCGCTCGACGCAAGAAAACAATGTTTTACCGGCCGTAACGATTGTCGTGGTCATTGCTGTTATGGAATTATTGTTCCCGTAGATTTTTATCTGCTTCCCTCGTGCCCAGATACACGGGCACGTTCGCGATGGAGCCTCCAGCTGGACTGGTTTGGTTCTGAATCATCGCTGGTTACCATTGTCTGTTTTATAGAGGTCAGAATGATTAGAAGAT